AGAGCACAGGACATAATTCCTTCATGACAGAGAAAGCTGGGTGAGGAGACAGGCATGTTGAATGTTGCAGTTGTAGTGCAAGATGTGAGGAAAAATGTGGAGAGATTTGGACACTGGAGAAAATATTGCATTGATTCTCTTCCCATGACGAAGAGAGGAAGAAAGAGCACCTAGCAAATGAGGAGAGCATAGGATGGGAAGAATCAGGAGGAACCAGGGAATGGCAGCCTCTGGATTTTCCCAGATGTCATGAAGATGTAAAGTTAAGATGAAAATGTAGCATAGAAAGGTCCAGAGACAGGACCACTGCTTCCTGCAGCCCAGAGCTGGTTAGAGATGTCAGAATTTCCACTCCCTGTTTGTTTGTGGAAATGTAACCAGCAAAGAGAAAAGGAGAAAGGGGTCAAGGATCAGGAATCTGAAGGAATTATGACAAAGGACAATGCCTTTGAGCCAGAGCGGGATCCTGACAGGGGTCCAGAAAAGGATAAGCACTCTTGAGGGTCGATAGGACACTTCTTTTCAGCAAACTTCCTCATTCCCAAATGCTAGTCTCCTACCACTGCCATGCCCACACACATAGAGGATCATCCTGGTTTCCTTAGGCCAGTGCATGAGAAATCCTTCCTAAACTGAAAAGCTCTCCAATGACCAAATTTATTCTGAATTAACTGAAATTATGCTTCTTGACATCCTATCTCTTAATAATGTAGAGAGGTTTAGCTGAAGACAATTTCCTTTCACATGCACTAATGAATAGCTGGGCAATCATATGCCACCCTCAGGAAGTGATCAGCAATATGTGTGTCATTCTTGGCTACACTGGATGAAATTGGACAGAATGCATGATCAAGCCCATCCCATGTGGAGGATTGGAACAGTGGTGTGTGAGTTTGTATAGCACAGCAGAACAGGAAGGAACAGAACTTTAATAAGCATTTCCCTGAGCAAAACTAAGTAGGAATTCCTTTAAGAGCAGCCATAGTATGCAACTGTAGAAACTCAAATGAACATGTTGAAGGAAACCAATTAGAAGAGAATTTAAAAGTGCATGATGCAGATGTGTGATACTTTTATTACAAATTGCAGCAGGAAATTAGATAGTCAGGAACTGTAGGCTCCTGGATTCTAAGAAATGTACCATGGGTTCCAAGGCAGGCAGAGGATTCCAGAAGGCCTGTGGAGGTGCTGTGGGTGAAGGGGGGCTTTCGGAGAAGTTGAACTGAGAGAGCCAAAGAAGGTAAAAATATTGGTGCAGGGCAGGCAGATGCAAGATCTAGAAATGAGCTGTCCACTTAAATGTAAAGGAACCAAGCACAGTACACACAGTATGCAAAAATGTCCTAAGTAGAGTCTTTGTTCAATCACCGTGTGAGATAACTGGAGCAGGATGAATCTAAAGTTTACTTTGGTTATATTAGTGGAGGAGGAAAGATATGTTTAGAAAATTACCAGTAGAACAGTGTGGTTGAGGGGGTTGACATACGGAGGGAACCAACTGTGTCCAATGGCCCTTGAGCACTCAGGAGTAGCCATTTACATGCAAACAATAGTTAGACTAATTGCATATCATTTGTAGCTATGCACTGAAGGAGATTTAATGAAAGCTCATGATTAGGTAATACTTAGCTGTTTTGGTTTCTGTCCCCCACCCCACCCTGCACACCCAAGAGTAACAATACTGGTTTCATTTGCATTATTTTATGATTTAGTTAATTTACTAATTCAGACACATCTCCCTCCCACTTTCTTTAAATTAGGTCTCTCATCACTCAGAACAAGAAGTTCTGGAAACATTGATAACAAATTTACCTGCAAGATAAAAGGCTTTTGTGTAAAATATTTCACCTTTGTCTTCTTTTTAGACAGAACTGTGTACTTTTTCATGAACTAGGTAGGTCCTTGACAACCTGTAGATTCTCAAAGATCAAATAATCCCTCAGTGTTAGGGCCTCACAGCAGTAGGGAGATAAATGGAATGGCACTTTGGGGCTAGAAGAAAATGGAAACTGTGAAGCATAGCTTTGGCTGAAAATCTCCAGAGTACAGTTACATGGCTTAGACATGCACAGCTCTCAGAGAAGACCAGGGTGGGGAGTAGGGGAAGGCAAGCTCACTCCAACCTCTCTTCCGAGATTTTTGGGAGCCCATTTTTTGAACTACACAGCAGGACAGGACAACGAGAGCTGAAGCTAGAATTGGCTGTGGAGATGAGAGGAAGGAGAGAACTCTAAGCTTGTGAATGGAGGTCCAAAAGACAGACAGGAATATTTTGCCTCCTGCCAACAGATCTTTGGGGTCAGAGAAGAACAGGAACACTAGGTAGCTACTTAGAACCCAGGGCTAAGAGAATAGAGACTGGGTCAGGCTATAATGGAATGGGCAGAATTACCTAAGGGTTTCTTAGTTTGGCATGGGGGGGGCAGCCCCAGTACCACGATCTCAGTGCTGCATCCATGGGGATCCGTAACTGACTTCCATCCCATTGGCTTTGAAATGGGGTAGAATGTGAACTGGCTGTTGGTGAGTACTGCTGGCCAAGATCAGGCAGGGCTGGTACTGGTGGGATGAATGGTGGCTAACCAGTTTCCCTCACTTTTTTCAAGGAAAAAGCAAATTTTCTGTTTCCATTCTAACAAATGTTGGTGAATAAATGGAAATACCACTATGCTTGGTTCATGCTATAAATGTTTACATGTGCCTATCGCAGTGGTAGTTCTGAGAGGGAATGTGGAACCAATATATTTAGCTCAGAGAGGATGACCCATTCAACAAACACTGCAGCAGCCGGCCCAGATAGGTGCATGAAATAGGAAGAAGACACACAGTCCAAAAGCCTGCTCAAGCTGAAGAGCTAAGTGGCGGGTTTTCAGGAGGAAGCAGCCCCTGCTGAGCCTCAAAGAAGAGGCAGAACTTAGATGAACCCAGATGAAGATGGAAACCATGTGTTCATGCTATAAATCTAAGTACGACAAGAGCTAATTCAAACAGGTCACACAGCAAGGCTCTTGGTACCAAGACTGAGCATGTGGGATGTCCAGCTACTGCTGTTGCTGCTATTTCTATTTTATGGTTGTCATCATTTCTATTTTATTTTTCCTTTACTGCCTTTTGTAAAGACAGTAGGAATTAAAGGGATGCATTCAGGAAGCAGTAAATGGGACATTGCTTTGGCAAGTTTTCATTAGATTTATGTGGGATGAAAGGAACCACTGCTACCAAGGGTTTGCATTTCTATTGCTTCTGTATCAAGAGTGTGTTGAAATGGCTGAAAGGCAGTGGCAGAAAAAAAGTTACAAGAAGGAATCGAAGCAGGGGGACCAAAACTTTGCCCCAGATTTCTGTGTATCTGAAAAATCACCATTTTAGTAATGCATGTGTTTGTCACAAATGAATCAGAACATTGAAAGCTCCTGGCTTTCAGTGGACACAGCTCCTCTCTGCTTCTCTTTGTCCACTGTCCACAAGCCTCACTGCAGGAATGATACACAGAGGATTCAACCCTGTAGTCTAGCTGCGATGTTGCAGGGACAGGGGTGTAAATACTAATGGACAGCCAGAGAGCAGGGATTTGTTCATTGGTATATTCAAAACATCCCCTCAGGTGGGATTCAGAATGGCAAATAAGTCTTCAGCTGAGAGTGCTTCTTGCCTGAGCCTGAAAACCATGTCCTCATTGCCTATTATTATCCCTTTTGGGAGGGCCAGTCTCTCACAGTCTGCTTGCTGTCGTGTTTTATAAACATCAAAGGCAACAGGGGTGGCAGTACCAAGGAGGCTGAGCTTCCTGGGTACACAAAGCCCACCAAGATCCACTCTGGGAATGCAGGCTGATTCCAGAAAAGGCATTGTTCAAACTGGTCAATGGCAACAAAGTCTCACTGCTTAGGAGGGGACGTGGGGACTGGGTCTCTGGAAGCCAGCTATTCTTTGCTGTAGGGGGCTCTGCCCTTAAAGAAGCTGGCTGATTTCCTGGACAGCTCCCTGCGGAAAGTTTTATTCTGAGAGTTTGAAAAAAAAAAACAAACAAAAAACAAAAACATAACCTCTAGTAACCTGTAATAGAGGGGTGGATGTCACTGTAATCTTTTGTCCTTGTGTAAAAACCAAATCATTTCAAGAACAGCCAGGGGATGAGGAAGAATAGTAACAACAGCAGAGCAAGGACTGAAATTTACCTGAAAGTTTTCTTTGGATATAAAGGAACAGTTTGATGCCTGTGACTTAGGGCAATGTTAGGCAGACAGCAGTGTATGAATCAGCCCCACAATCCAGCTTTTGTGGGTGTGAAGTAGTGAGCTCATATTTTCTAGGTACCTTATTTGTTCCTATCTAAAAGCTCTTTTTTCAAAATAAGGGACATTATTAGCTTAATTAGGAGTTCTCAGCTCTTGAAGCCTAGGAGAGTGAAACACAAAACTCCTACCCTTTTCATTTATTCTCCTTTGCGGAAGAATTAACTTCTCGGTAATGTAAGAAGAAGCAACAAAGTAATCCTCTGTCTTCCTGTCCTGTGTCTTCACTGGTATCAGTCACTGTCCCTGAGGATGTGGCTTTCCATACCTCTGATGTTCCTAGCAAAGCCCTTATCACTCAAACAGCGAACACTCATTTAGGAGAAATGTCTGTTTTTAGGAAATTTCCCATTTCTATTAGAAACAGACACTTTGAACACTGTTCCAGGGCTAATTAAAAGTGCTCTCACCCAGAGGAACAGGGAAAGTAAAAATCTCGCTAATGTTACAATTTGTAAGTTTTTGTAGCAGCAGCAGCAGCAGCAAAACACATTTGTATACATAAGGAACGATAGCACTGGTCTTTGCACACTTTGAAAAATCTATATTTAAGCTCATGAGGTTGGGGAATTTCCCCTGCTTCCTTACTTAAAAAAAAAAAGGAGGCTATTCCTAGCCCCGGTTACAGTACTTTCGCAGCCCTCTTCAGTCCCACCTGTTCCATTATTTAACACCAGTGCTCAGAGTAGAAGCCAGAGCGCTTACCTTAAAGGAGGAATAGAAGGAGCCCCACTCCTCCCCCGCCAGCACTTCAGTGAAAGTCACGGTTTCAGTGCAAGCCACTGGGGAAGAATCCAGCACCGGCACGGTCTGGTTGGCATGGGAGCTGCCCTCTGTGAGGCTGACTGGCATGGCTCAGGCAGGCTTGAAACTCACTGTCCCTGAACCTGCAGCAGGACAAGAGAGTTCAGTTGGCCTCCTGAGAGTCCAGAAGCAGCTGCCGATAGCTTACACCTCTTCTGTCTCCCAAGGCTTCTGGCTATTTCTTGCCTGAGCAGAGGCATAGAGCCCTCTCTGAGCCCACCTCACTGAAGAGCTCTGCCTGACGACAAGGACGATCCACGTGCTGCACTCCTCTGCAGTTACAATGTAGCAGCCAGCTCTGCCCTCACCACCCCGCAGCCTTGCCTAGGCCTGGCCTCATCCTGAGAGCAGCCCCCGAGGCCATCCACGGGCTCCCTGGAAGGGACTCCCTCACTGGTTGTGCTTTTCCTGACTTGTGCAGCAGACCCTCACCTTGGTTCCAGCTTCCACAAAGCAAAAATGAAGATATTCGGCAGGTCCATTAATTCAGGTCATGTCTGCATTTCTGAAACCAGTCAGAGTTATGTTTGTTTGAGTGAGGTTGCTTTCTGACTTGGGATTCTCTGGTAGTGTGCACTTTACTTCAGTAAGTGGAGGCAAGCAGCACCCAGATTCCTGCTGAAGTTTTCACAGGACATTGCTTGGAAGTTCTGGTCCATGTTTGTCAGGAAGTCACTGTCTCTCATGATATGACAAAGGGTGAGAACTCACCATCCCCTCCACCTCAACTCCTGCCTGGGATCATCCCTCAGGGTGGGGGAAGAATGGGGACGATGGCCACTTCCATTGGTGCTACAGAGAGGAGCAGGCAAGCACCCAAGTAAAGAGACTGCTTCACAAGCGATCTCATAAAATACAATTACTGTTCTTTCATTTAATTCTCAAAACAGCCTTGAGGTACTGAAGAAAGTGACTTTTATGTTTGCACCTAGAAGGGACTGGATTCAAGGTGAGAAATGACTTACTCAACACCCCACGGCTGGTGAAGCCAATGAGTGGTAAGCCATCTCTCCTGAATTTCCTCGTGGTTGTGATTTAGTGCAACACAAGCTGATTGATGTGCATCCAGTCTCAGATGCTCACCAGGACATGAGATTGACAGCAGTAAGGTAGCAGGCCAGGTGCAAAGCAATAGGTGCCCAACCACCTATATGGCAAACCCAGCACCTGATCCTGTACACAGAAGCCAGTCTGTGGGCCCCACAGGTCAGCCATTGCTCTATTGCCTCTGGTAAAGACTGTAGTAGGCTTTCCATCAGAAAAGAGCAGGACCCAGGGAATCTCCTGGGAGGTCTTTAGCATAACTTACTTATTACCAGGCAGAAGTCAGTGGGTTCTGGGTAAGTGTGCCATGAGAGAAAGGTCAAAACTAAACAGTGACTTAAACAGTGACTCAGTGGCAAAACATTTTCACTGACGGGGAATCCAGCTGACAAATAAACACGGGGAAATTCTCCAACACGTTAGCAATTAAGGAAAGCAGTTTAAATGGAACTTTAACCCATGAGCACAGTGAAAACTAGGGTACAACTACTCCCCAAATGTTGACAAGATTGAGGAAACATAAGCATATGTTTTCATTTCTGATGTAACTTAGGTGAATACAGTGGCTTCAGAGAACAATTAGGTAGAGTCAAATAAAGTTGGGGTCACCTTGATGTTCCATGCCATTTGTGGACGTTGGTGATTTTCTTTCTCTATCTGGGCAACTTCAATGTGTTCAGTTTGGCAGAAATTCATCGTTGCGCTCTTACAATACGTGTATTTTCCTAGAGGATGTTTCACTTCAAAAATATTTCTCAAATTTTGTGAGAAACTTCTGAGATAGGGCAGAAACTAGTTAGGTGACAGAGTGATGGTGCGGTGGGAGAGAAAAGGGTGGTTGCTGTGGGCAGTGAGACTTTCCTAGTGTGCCATTTTCTCTCTCCTAGTGGTCTAGTAAACATTTACATCTATGTACAAGAAGACACCCAAAAAGAATCCTCTGTAACCTTTTAGGTTGAAAGCAACTTAAACATTCATGGGGACGAAAATCAATGACACATCTGAAATCAAAAGCTATTCACATGCCTGTCAGTCTGGTGAATAAATTTCCATGCAGTTATGCAGTGAAATACTATAGAGCAATGAAAATGATCAGTATTATATTATATTGAAATTTACACAGTATTAAACTCAATAATGAATGTACTGGTTTCATTTACATAAAGTATAGCATATGTGCAGAAACATAATACATTACTACCCAGTAAACAGGATGATTGCAGAACCTGTAATAAACATGGCATGATTGTTGATTTTTATGTGTCAGTTTTACTGGGCCATAGCGTATGCACAGAGTTAGACATCATTCTGGGTATGTATGTGAGGATGATTAAAGATGAGATTAACGTTTCAGTTGGGAGGCCCAGTAAGACAAGTGTCCTCCCTGGGCACATCCCTCATTCACTAGTTGAAGACCTGAATACAACAAAAGCCTGATCCTCCAGTGAAAGAGAGCGGTCTTCTCTGGCCCGTGTTGAGATGGGATGTTGGTCTTTTCTTTGAAGCTGAACTGCACTATATTCTCAGACTTTTTGATCTCCGACATGGGTCTCAAATCTTATTTCTTTTGGAGAATGATGACTACAACTCAAGGCTTTTAGTTCCTCACTTGAGCTCCTCCCTAGAGCCCACAGAAAACAAGAGAGATACAGAGGAAATATAGAAAAATAAGAGTAAAAATAAGACAGTTTCTAGAGTATCTTAAGTGATAAATGAGGGAAGCTCTGAGCTGGTCATGATCTGGAAGATGAGGAGTAATCAAATACCTTATCATTGATAGAGAATGTAAATTTGTCTACCCACTGTGGAAAACAGTATGAAAGTTCCTCAAAAAACTAAAAAATAGAACTTCCATATGATCCAGCTGTGCCACTTCTGGGTATACACTCAGAAGAAAAAAAAATTACTGTGCTACAGAGATACCTGCACACCCAGTTTATCACTGCACTAAGTCAAAGAATCAGTTTAATGTTCATAAATGGCTGAATGAATAAAGAAAATATGTTATACTTATATAATAAAGTTTAATTCAGTCATACAGAGGAATGAAACCATGTCATTTGTATGAGTGGAACTGGAGATCATCAAGATGAATGAAATAAGTCAGACCCAGAAATCCCAGTATTCTCTCACGTATAGCATTTAGAGGGGAGGGGATGGACATGAAAGTAAATGGAGAGACTTTTAAGAATGCAGAAGGGAAAATGGAAGGAGGGAGAAGAAAGAGTATTGGGGTGAATGTGACTAAATTACATTATACGCATTCATGAACCTGTCATAATAAAACCTTTACCCTAATATGTGCTAATTAATATGTACCTATCATACCCTATGCTAGGTACATAAATTGGTGTGAGCACTTTGGAAAATGGCTTGGCAGCCTCATCTGAAACTGAGCACATGCACACTCTGTGACCCAGCACTTCAGGTGTTAGGAAAATGCCCAGCACAAACGACCTCACATGTCAACCAAAAGAGTGAAACAGTGGGTTTAGCAGCTTTCTTTGTAAATGCCCTTAACTAGACAGCAACTAAATAAAGTATAGCATATGTGCACAGTAAAGTGGAAAAACAACTGGGCACATTCACACCGTGGAAGAAGTCCACAAATGAAAACGAGTTATGTTGGGCTGCTTGCAAAGTCCTGCTTCTAGCTTGGATGATAATTACATGAGACTATTCCACCTGTGAAAATGCGTTGACCTGCACATACTTTCAGCTTCCTTATATATGTTAGTCAAGCTTATAAGACAGAAGCTGTGGCGAAATCCTGGAGGGGCTTAAGGGAGGGGATCCATTTGATGAGGGCAGGTGTGTGTATGGGGGGCATGGCTACTGGAGCAGGTCCAGGGACAGAAGATAGAGGGCTTTCTGGCCCAGCCCCTTTCATCTGCACATATTATATTGCCCAGGTGAATGAGCCTCTGGTTACAACAGAGCAGGAGCCTGGCCTGAGGGTGGCAGATAAGAACACAGTGGGAATGGTTGGAACCGCTCCACCTCAAATGGAAAGCCAGGCTTCTTGTATTTCCTCTTTCCTATCTGTATTAGACTGAAATCAAAGAATGTGGCCAGGATCAAGGTCTCATTCAAGTCTCCACTTCTAGGTTCTCTCACGGCGTTGACTGGATTCTTTTCTTCTAGGTGTAGAAGTCATACTGTGTGCCCATTTCACAAATGTGGAAAGTCAAGCATCAAGAAGGTTAGTTATGGGGTTTGCACAGGTCTGCTATGAGAAGAGGACAAAATCCCTATGTCCAGGCAAGGAAACAAAAACTGGGGGCATGTGAGTAGATTTCTCCACCTCACACAGGCCCTGGTACATTGGACTCTGAAACTAAAACTCAGTCTCTAAGGTTGTGCTATAGGCTAATGTGCAAAACAAATATCACTGAAGATGGTAGTGTTTCCTGCTGCCAAACAAGAAATTAATTTCGTGACTGGTTAAAGAGCTGTAGGAAGAAGCTGGACTTCAAAGAACCCATCACAGTATTCTGGCAGAAATATCATGAAGTTTATTGTTTCCCTTGATTTGATGCATTTATCCTTTCATCTAGAGTAGAAGCTGTGTGAATGAGCATCTTTTTCCTTCAAAGAAAAGAAGCCACAGAAACATGATTTCTTTGGGCTTGGCATGCTGAGTTCTTAGAGTGAAAGGGCTGAGTCTACTCAGGCTGGAATGATGACGAATTCATAAGAGCGGCTTCCACTAGCTCTGCTCTGGACTGGGGATCATCTGGGACTGCACCTGGGCCTGTCATTCAGTGAGTAGCTCACAGTTGATTTCTTTGTAGCAATAGGTGTAGGGGTTTTGTGCCTCTGCAGAATGGAACAGGCTATGGATGGTTACAAGAAAATAAGACCTCATAGCAGAAAGAGGAACAAATCACAGGAGCCACCCATACTCAAGGAAAGGGATTCCACAAAGGCAGTAGCATGTGTCAGGTAATGTGGGGGCAGCTCAATTTCCACCCTCCATATTGTTTCTAATGGTGCATTCATAACTGAGAGAACCAACTTTTAAAAAGTATTTTGCTATTTTTATTTTATGTGTATGAGTGAATTTCTTGCATATATGTGAGTGCACCCATGTTGTGCAATGCCCATAGATCTAGAAGAGGGTGTCAGAGTCCCTGGAGCTGGAGTTGCAGTCAATGGTTGTTGG